CGGAGTGTTGGGGAGGTTATAGTGTGCGGGATGTTAGGTGTGGTGGGGGGCAGGGCGGTTGCGAGGTCAGAGGAGGGGAGAGTTGATGGGGTTATAGTGGGAGGGAGGCTAGGTGGGGAGGTAGATTGAGCATTGGCGATGTCCTTACGGATTGCGTCGATCTTGTTTTGGAAGTGATTGGCAATCTTGTGGGCGGTGAGTGAGGTACTGGGTGGAGGTGGAGGGGGAGAGAGTAGGGAGTTGAAAGTGGAGAAGAGCCGGAAAAGGACAGGTGGAGAGGATGTTGATGAGGGTTACGAAGTAGGCTTGTTTGGCGGTGTGGAGGGAGGAGGTGTAGTTGAGGAAGGCGGATTTGTAGAGGGAGAACGCTTGAGGGATTCTGCTTTTGCGCCATAATCGCTCCAGCGCGCGACTGCGTCATTTAAGATTTTTAGTGTGGTCATTCTGTCAGGGTTGAAGCGGTTGGGGTCTAATGCTATGTGTGGTTAGGGGTGCTAAGGAGTCTAAGGCAGCTGACAGCGAGTCGTTATACGCAGTAGTGGCCAGGTCAGGGCATGACAGTGGAAGGATACTGTCGTACAGACGGTCACCTGCAGGGTGGAGAGGGGTCGGGTTCAGGTTGCGGAGGTTACGGCTGGTGATGGTTTGACGTTTGGGGGGGAGGTGTTAAAGGATGGGGAGACGGAGAACGTAATGAGGTTGTGGTCAGAGAGAGGGAAAGGGGTGTTTGTGAGGTTGTGGGGGGTGCAGAGATGAGAGAAAACGAGGTCCAGGGTGTTCCCATTGGTGTGGGTGGAGGACTGTGTGCACTGTGTGAGTGCAAAAGAAGAGGTTAAGTGGAGGAGTTGGGATGTAGCCGGGTTGTTGACGTTGATAGGGATATTGACGTCACCAAGGATGATGGTGGGTAGCTCAGAGGAGAGGAAGAAGGGTAGCCAGGCGGAAAAGTCGTCGAGGAAGCGGGATACGGGTCCAGGAGGCCGATAGATTACTGCAATCCTCAGAGGGGTGGGAAAGAAGAGCCGGATGCAGTGGGCCTCGAGAAGAAGGATAGAGAGGGGGGCTTTGGGAGGATCTGGAAGGTGCTCAGCGGTGACTAGAGCATGCCGACCCCACCACCTCTACGACCGCTTGGTCTAGGTGAATGGGACCAGACGAGACCTCCATAGGAGAGTGCCGCAGGGGGGTGGAGTCAGTGGCTTGGATCCAGGTTTTGGTGACCACTAGGAGGTTGAGGGAGTGGGAGATAAAGAGGTCGTGGATGGCGGTGAGCTTGTTGCAAACTGATCAGGCGTTCAGGAGTGCAACCGAGAGTGGAGGGGTGGATGCGGGGAGGAGGGGGACAGGTATAAGGTTGAGGGGGTTGCGGCGGTTTGTGGGAGTAGGAGGGTGCCTAGTGGGTGAGTGAGGTGGTGAGGGGCCAGGGTTCGGGGAGATGTCCCCGGCGGTTAGGAGAAGATGAAGGGTGAGAAAGGTGGCATGGGAGCGGGATGTGCAAGAGCGTGTGGGTCTGTTAGTGGTGGCGTGTGGGTCGGTGGGAGAGTGGAGTATCAGGAGGAGGGTGGTGAGAGCCGTAGTGGGGAGATGGAAGTAGTGAGGGTGCAATGTATAGTTGTTTTGGGGGAGTAGGGGGGTAGAGGGAGAGGGAAAACAATGATTGTATTATTGTGGATAGGATGAGGCAGCTTTTGACCTTCAGTTAGATCATTGATATCTGTTCCCCCCTTGTCGTCTGTGATTACCTTAAGGTGACTAACTCTACACTCTATATGAACCACTGATGTATTTATACATGTTGATCATATCCACCCTTAATCTCTTCTCAAGAAAAAATAAATTCAGTTCCTCTAATCTTTCCTCATAGCTGAGCTCCTCCATGCCTCTTATCAGTTTGGTTGTCCCTTCTCTGCGCTCTCTCCAGTTTCCCAATATCCTTTTTGTGAATTGGTGTCCAAAACTGAACTGCATATTCCAGATGCTGTATTACTAATGATTTGTACCGGGGTAAAATGATATCTCTTTCTCTCTCTCTCTCTCTGGAGTCTATACTTCTTTTAATACAAGAGAGGATTTTGCTCACTTTAGAAACCGCAGCTTGGCATTGCATGCCATTATTAAGCTTGTGATCTACCAGAAGTCCCAGATCCTTCTCCACCATTGATTCCCCCAGTTGTACCCCCCCCCCCCCCCAAGTGCATAACCTTACATTTATCAACATTAAACCTCATTTGCCACATAGTTGCCCAATTAAACAGTGCATTGAGGTCGGCTTGTAAGTTGGAGACATCCTGTAAGGACATTATTCCACTGCACAGCTTGGTGTCATCTGCAAAGACTGAAATGTTACTTTTAATCCCAGACCCTATATCGTTTACAGTCCCTACACTGAACCTTGGGGTACACCACTAACAACCCTAGACCATTCAGAGTATGAATCATTAACCACTACTCTCTGAATTCAGTCTTTTAGCCAGTTTTCTATCCATTTACAAACTAATTTTTCTAATCTTGTAGACTTTACCTTACACATTAGCTGTGTGTGGGGAACTGTGTCAAAACACTTTTGCAAAATCCAAGCATACCACATCCACTGCACCCCTCTGTCCAATGTTTTGCTTGCCTCCTCATAAAAAGAAATCAGATTTTTTTGGCAACATCTGTCTTTCATGAGTCCATGCTGTCTGTTGTTGCTTAAAAATATTTTTTTCCAGCAAGAACTCATCTATGTGGTCTTTTATTAAGCTCTCCAGCATCTTCCTGAGTATATAAGTTAAACTAACAGGTCTATAATTACTTGGTAAAGACTTTGATCCCTTTTTAAATATTGGCACCACATTGGCCTTACGCCAATCCATAGGCATATTGCCCATGTTCCTTTGTATACACAGAGCTGAAGAAGGTATTTGATACATTTGACTTCTCCTTGTCTCCAGTCACCCACTGTACATTATTTTGCAAAGGGCCTACATGCTCGGACCAGACCTTTTTACTATTAATATATTTGAAGAATTGTTGTGGGTTTGTCCTGCTATCTTTTGCAATCTGTCGTTCAGTTTAAATTTTTGTGGCCTTGATTTCCTTTTTAATCTGTTATATTCTTTGTAATATTTAAACAATGACAGTGTTCCTTCATTTTTATCATTTTTAAAGCTATTTTTATTATTTATTATTATTTATAGCTTTTTTAACTTTGGCCGTAAACCACATAGGTTTTATTTTTAGTCTTTTAAACTTGTTGCCCATGGGAATATATATTGCAGTGTGTTTGCATATAGTCTTTTTGAAGAACTGCCAATTCTGTCAGTGTTCATCAATGCCAATATTTCCTCCTAGTCTAAGTCTTGGATAATAGCCCTCAACCTTGGAAAATTTGCTTTCTTAAAAGTTGAGTGTTTTTTATCTTTTCCGTATGTGCTTGTTGTTTATAGCCAACATTAAATGAATTCATATTATGCTCACTACTACCCAAATGTTCTTTTATATGAACATTTGTAATAACCTCTGCATGGTTTGAGATTACTAGGTCCAACAGAGCATCATTCCTAGTTGGGGCCTCTATGAACTCTACCATAAAATTGTCTTGTATTAGGTTTATAAATGTTTGCCCTTTAACTGTTCCTGCAGTACCATTACTCCAGTAAATTTCTGGGTAGTTAAAATCCCTCATTATTATCACTGTCCCAGCCCTTACAGTCCTTTCGATCTGTGCAAGGAGCTGAGTCTCCACCTCCTCATTAACACTGGGTAGCCTATAACGAACTGCAGTGATTATTTTTGTAGTACGCACCCCCATGTGCAGTTCCACCCATAATGCCTCAGCATCCTCACAATCTCCATCAACCAGGCCTTCTTTCAGATCACCGAGATCACTTTGAGATCACTTCTCACATACAAAAAGACACTACCACCTTTCCTATTTACCCTGTCTCTCCGAAAGAAGAATAGCCAGAAATATTAATAGCCCAGTTATGTAAAGAATGAAGCCAAGATTCAGCAATACCAATTAAATCATAGTTCTCTTCATACACCAAAGCTTCTAACTTACCTATTTTGCTTAGCAGACTTCTTGTATTGGTGAACAAACACTTTAATTCATTGTTACATTTTGCACACGTATTTTGCATGTTTTTTATTTTCGTACAGAGGCTGTTTTGTAACATGGGAACCTTTTTATCACCTGCCATAGCCCTCCCCCATCTTTCCCCATTCCACCCACCAATAGGGACTGATACCCTTCTGCTGTCTGCCCATTTTATCTTAATTTTACCTGCCCTCTCATTCTTAGTTTAAACCTTCTCCTCCAACCTTCTCATAAACCTCTCACCCAGAACAGCAGACCCCCTTCCATTTAGGTGCAAACCATCTTGCTCCTTACACTTGTGGTCATTGGGAAGACTTACCCCCTTACAGATAGCTAAAAAGATCAATGGTAAGGACTTATCTGAGAGGCAGAAATTGCCTACTGCTCAAGGAACCATTAGCAACCTCTGGAGGAATCCTACTACACTATCACAATGAAGTCAATGGGAATCTGCTGACCTGCATTTGATGTGCTGTTCTAATGTATGTCAAGTGCAGGAAAACCATGGTTGTGTACAGCGCTCAAATAGCGGACCAATAAGGCCCCAGAGGATCTCAAATTAAACTTGCCCTAAATTGCTCTTGAAAACGTATACAGTTAAAAAAATGTCTCAATGTCCATAGCAACATAATCAAGATTAATGTAAGCATATTATCTATAAATACACAAGAATGCATGCATCCGCAATTGAACATCTAGTTTACATGTATAAAACATTGGGAGACCAATGTATACATAAAAGTGGTAATAAATATTTCTGTTGGTAATGACTGTATAAGTAGTGATGTTAGGAGTTAGAATAGAAGTAGGTGGGGTGGGTAAACGTAGGTAAAGTAGGAAGAAAAGGAGGAGGAATAGCAGCAGAAGTGGCAGTAAGCGTATTCATTTATGTTTATTTTAATTTTTGTAGCCTTATTACCTCTCAACCACACAGGTCCTGCATGGGAATCTTTATAGAGAACTGCATTTTTTCGGCATGAAAAATAAAATTGGAATATCATCCAGAAAGTGGAGAGCAGCATTAGAATAACGAGGAAAGCAAGGACTTCTGTGTCCTGCACTATGACCTCTTCTAAGGAACCACTGCTAACAAGAACACAGGCTATCAGACCAACGTTGATGGCCAGCAGTGCAGATAACAAGCGACCCCCTTTCTTCCAGACTTGGTTGTGAACTGCTGGGCCGCCTGGCACCTGGTTTAGAACAGGCATTTCCACCTGGACAACTGAAGAGGCCAAAGTCATGGCATCTGTATTAGAGACGTGAACTGCATCTTCTTGTACTGCATGGGGGACGTTGGTATCTTGAATGACATCCTGTGGTACTTCCAGTTCTTCCTGGGCTGCTTTTGTGCTTCCCATCTTTCACGTACTGGTCCTGGAAAAGACGAAAGGAAAAAATTGAACCTACATCCTTTAAGCAAGTAATATATTTAGTGGATTGGCCAATGAGGCTCAGATTACATATATAAAGGCATTAACTATGGAACTGTAAATAGATTTATGTTTAGTTAATTCCATCTTAATGGTCACTTTCTCTTATTGACCTTACGGCACCTTATGTACTAAATCTCTACTGGCACCATTCCATTTCAAAAAGCAAAGAAGCGAATGGGTTAACACAGTGGAAACAGCTGTAGCTATTTTAATTAACAGAAGACCAGTCATCTCATTTATATGCAAATAAGTTTGATAAATCTCCTGCAGAATTCTGAAAGGTCACAGGTCATCACTTCAGCTCTGTGCAGCTCTAGAATGTCAGTGCAGCATTTTTAGCATAATGTCAATGACATTTTAAGACCTCTCGCCTTTGATTGATAATTTTATGGTCCCAGGGATGTGAAATAGTATTAGGATTGCCTTGTAGTATTACATACTTATCAACACCAATTCCCCCTGGTCTCATATATTGTTTTATATATTTACCTTTTTAGCTGGTAGAAGAAACCGTAATCCTGAGATTAATAAAAAGGATTGCAGTTTTTATGCATCCAGAAAGGTCAGCACAGATTATTCTATACATGGTGTTAGAATAATGCAAAACACTTCAGCTTACTTTTTTTTTGTGGAAAGGTCTGCACTGGCAGGCTCTGTGTTTCTCCAATAATGGGTTTTCTTTTAAATAAGAAAAAAAATAGATTTTTTACTTACCTGTAAAACTCATTTCTTTTACTACATCACAGGGCACAGAGCAGTTTATTTAATCCTTATTAAGAGAGTTATGCACACTGGCAAACACCAGGGGCAGCTCCAGACAAATCTTTTGTGGGGTGCTGTGTTGGTGCTGAAAGTATAAGTGGGAGAACTAACACAGCATGACAGCTGCGTGGCCAAATGGTGGCCATGGCCAAAAGGTGGTTCTTCATGGACTATCACCTTGGGGCACACTAAATTGATTGTTGGAGTATAATAAGCCCAAATGGGACCAGCAATGATACCCCCCAGCAAGTGTCAGGGCCAGAAATAACCCCTGCAGGTGTAAAAGCCAGCATGGCAAAATAGTTCATCCCCAACATGGAGCAAAAAAAAATATGAGAGTATAAAGGTGAAATGCCTACAACTCGTTCTTCCGATAAAAGTACTTCTTTATTAAAGGGCACAGTGTGCAAGTTACAGCAGATTTACTCTGTCAACATGAGTTTGTTTAAATCTCATGGCATAGAGAGGGTTAAAAGACCAGCACGTGGAAGAGATGTAAATTGGATCTTATTAGAGAAAGAAGCTATATGGATTTTCACTTTGCAGACTAGAATTCCCTTAGGACTAAATCAAACATGGAATATACATCTTTTTCTCAAAAAACAATTTAGTTATCCTTTTATTATCATTTCTTTTTATTATTCTATTATTCTATCAGGCTGTTTTGGTGAACTACGTCCTGAAGTTTGTGAATGCCTTTCTATAATATTACATCATCACTTGCACAGTTATAATAAATCAATCTCTCTGCTATTTATTTATTAATATCCATCTTTTTCTTTCTTTCCCTAAAGTTTGATCTTTGTTCCTTTTTTTAAATACACTTATTTATGGTGAATGGTAACAATTATCTTTATTATACATCATACATAAGCACCCTGCTCATGATCTTTCTATCCTGAATGTATAACTATATTTTTGTATATTGTTTTATGTTTACTTTTTTCATATATTGTCATTTTTACTATCTTTTAGATTTTTCTGTTTTCCTCCCATCTACAAGTAACATCCAAGACACCTGATGGATAATAGACTAATTAATTCAAAAAGATAATAAAAGGTTTTTTTTTTTTTTAAATAACAACCATTGTAATACTTACCTGCTGTGTGCAGTGGTTTTGCACAGTGAAGCCTGGATTCTCCTCTTCTCAGGTCCCCTGCTGGTGCTCCTGGCTCCTCCGTTCGGTCGGGTGCTATGCTGCTTGCTATGGGGGCATCCGAGCAGGCTGTTCCCAAGCTGCTGCTCTGTGTGTCCATTCACACAAGGAGTCACGGCTTGCCACCCCTCCTCATTGGCTGACTGGCTGTGATTGACAGCAGTGGGAACCAATGGTTCCCGCGTGCTGTCTCAACCAATGAGGAGGCAGAGACCCGGGACAGCCGAGGCTGTTGTGCAGATTGCTGGATCACGATGGGGCTCAGGTAAGTAATGAAGGGGCTGGGGGAACTGCTGCATACAGAAGGTTATTTACCTTCATGCATAGAATGCATGAAGGTAAAAAAATCTTGAACCTTTACAACCACTTTAACTGATGAAGCCATGTGCAGTGGGAAGAATTTTTAGAGAGATTGTCTTTGTGTCTAGTATTTAAATATGTTTGTTCTATGAATTGTTTTATGGCTATGAATAAGGTTTTTTCATACTCATAGGCTGCCGTAACTTGCATACTGTATCCTTTATTAATAAAGTACAGTCATGGTCAAAAATATTGGCACCCCTGCATTTCTGTCAGATAATACACCACTTCACCCAGAAAATTGTTATAATTACAAATGTTTAGTCATTCTCACGTTTATTTCTTTTGTTTGTATTGGTATGACACAAAAAGCCAAATCTGACACATTCCATGCAAAACTCCAAAAATGGACTGGACAAAATTTTTGGGACCTTCTCAAAATTGTAAGAAATAATTGCATTCCACGTTTGTGATGCTCCTGTAATCTGTAATTAAAGCAATTCTAAAGGTTCATTTTACTTTGTTGTAAAATAACAAACATGTCTATACTTACCTGCTGTGTGCAGTGGTTTTGCACAGAGCAGCTTGGATCCTCCTCTTCTCGGGTCCCCCGCAGGCTCTACTGGCCCATTCTGTCTGTCGGGTGCCCACACAGCAAGCAGCTTGCTATGGGGGCACCCGCTGCTCCATGTATACATTCATGGCTTGGCAACTCCCCCCTCTCCTCATTGGCTGATTGGCTGTGATTGACAGCAGTGAGAGCCAATGGTTCCCACTTGCTGTCTCAGCTGAGGAGGCAGAGACCTGGGACAGCCGAGGCTGTCATTCACATTGCTGGATCGCGATGAGGATCAGGTAAGTATTGAGGGAGCTGGGGGCACTGCTGCACACAGAAAATTTTTTACCTTCATGCATAGCTGCTGCTTATATTATATATGTGTTTCCGCAGTAACAAAGTTAATTTTTCTGGAGCCTAAAGTAAACTCACTGACTCACACCCAGGCTGCTAACAAGCCTCTAACTTTAGTACAAACTTTGTACACCAGAGGGTGCTACACTTGGAATATCTGGGCCTTCAATTGGGGGGTAAAACCTTAAACAATAATCATGAAAAAACAGCCCCTAGGAAAGCACCCCAAGGATACAGCAGTACATAGCATCCCACGAGGCTTGTGGCTGCTAATTAATCCAACATGTAGACAGAAGAGGGGGAAACAATTATTAGGAAAAGTTCTAAATTCTTTATTGGGATATCAAAATATAAAAATTCACAAAAAACATATAAACCCCCCCCCCCTAAATGTCAAAACCACATTCCTTCCCCCTGTACCTTTCCATAATACCCTGTGAATGAACAAATCAGTCACCAAGGGTTAATTCCCTTAGAGAGTCTCAGCCAAGGTGACTACCTCTTCCACCCACCAATGATATGCAGAAATCAACAATGCTGAAAAGCAAACCCCTGAAGATTAAAGCACAGCGGGAAATATCAACATACATCTAAATAACCACTCACTTGTTCACTTGCATAAATACAAAAGCATAGTAAATATTGTCTTCAAAAGTCCATCTTATTACAACAGTAAATATTTCGGTTGCAAGCAGTAGGTTTCAGTGGAGTGACACACAGTTACTTAAGGTGGAAGTCAACAACTTTTAAATAGCAGCAGTGAAGCAGATACCTGTGCTTGTCCTGCTTCAACTGCAGCCCAGAGATGTGTGTTACTTCGGCTCACAGCATTTCCCTCCAGTGGTTTAAACAGAGTGTGAAGGCTGATCAGCTGTCTGCTTCCAAGTCTCGGCTTGCAAGGTGGGCAGGCATGGTCTAGGAGGTACCAAACTGGCAGCATATCATAGCAATGCATTTCACCAATAGGCGAAACTCAGCTTCCACGGGATGTACCTTAACTTTAGGCCGGGCTGGTAGGCTCTACAGGTCAGACCTCTGGTATCTCCCCCTGGTTCTAGAAGCTTGAGAAAGTTTCTAAAAGCTAGTGGGTGGAGGTCAGAAGATGCTGATCTGCATGTTTAGGGGTATCTGGCCAATCCTTGGCAGGAGGCCTGGCAAGGTGGCCTAATCAGCACGTAAATATGAGAGAGCCTGGCCAGCAGGGGAGTTGGGTGGAAGACAGAGTGCTGAGGTGTGCTGCTGTGTAGCCTGGGAGGGGACCCTGGAGAAAGGGGGGTTCTGCCTCCAGGCTGGAGTTTGGAAGGATGGGAGAAGGAATTTGACAGAGGGAGCTCCACTGCCCTACAGTCCACTGAGGAAGAACAGCCTGCAAGCTTGGAAAGAAAGTAGCTCAGCGAAAGGCCTGAAAGCAGTTTACCCAAAGCTACAGGACACAAGGACAGTGTGAGTAGCTCTACACCCCCAGGGCCTACAAGAGAGAAGGCTGTTAGGTGCATACCTAACCAAGTCTCCCTGGAACAGTTGTGCAAGTCTGTTTTTGCTCTGGGATACTCTTCAAGACAGCCAGTTGGATTGGCAGTTTCTAGCTGAGGTCTGAAGATGTTCATATAAAGAGGGGATCAAGTGCTCTTTCCAGAGACTGTGTT